TTGCATGTCTATACCACCATTGCATCACTGGAAAGGATAAATGCCTGACACCATTCATTCAGTGTGGTGTAGTGGTTAAGAGTGGTGGACTTGTAATCCGGTGAACCGGGTTCAATTCCCTGCTTCTCTACATACAGCTGCTGGGTGAGCTTGGGCTAGTCACACTTTTCTGAAGTCTCTCAGCCTCACTCACCTATGAGTGTTTGTTGTGAGGGAGGAAGGGAAAGGAGATTGTTAGCCGCTTTGAGACTTCTTAGGGTAGTGATAAAGCCGAATATCAACGCCAAACCTCCTCTTCTTCTTCTTCTTCAACAACGGACTGAAGACCTGACTACACTATGAGCTGATTTACTTATAGATGTAGGCTTTGCATGGACAAGTGAAATGAAATTTGAAACTCATTTATGAATAAAGTAGGTTAAACACTGTGATTAACAAGTGTTAACAGTAAATAATTACGATGTTTAACCTACTGTATTATAGTATATCTAGGATGTGGTATACTATTCTTTGTTTTCTTTCTTCACGTTTTCAAAGCCACTTTTTATGTGTTGTATTTTAATCTAACAACAACAGCAATGTATATACCACCATTTTCTCCTAGGAGCTCCAGGTGGTGCACATGGTTCACTCCCTCCTTATTTAATCCTCACGACTAGACAGAAGGTGTCTCCAGCAGACATGGCTTTGACCCATACTGGGTTTGGCAGCAGCTGAAACAGGTTCCTGCTAGGCTCACCTGGTGAGCCCACCCCGCCCCAACAACCCCCCACTGCCAGGCTGAAAGGGTTTTGATCTACCATCAATTGTACCCATTTCCAGAGGGGGCGCCGTCTCGGCCATGTTTGAAAGAAGGGACCCCAGGGTCATCTAGTCCAACCCCCTGCAATGCAGGAATCTCAGCTAAAGCGTCCAAGACAGGTGGCCATCCCGCCTCTGCTTAAGGAAGGAGAGTCCACCACATCTTGTGGGAGTCTGTTCCACTGTCTCACTGCTCTTACTGCCAGAAAAGTTCTTCCTGATGTTTAGTCTGAGTCCCCTTGTAACTTGAATACATTGGTTCAGGTCCCAGCCTTTGGAAAGAGGAGAAAACAAACTTGTTCCATCCTTCATTTTCACAGTTCAGTAACAGCATCATCTGCCTTGCACACAGATTTCCAGGTCCAATCTCTGACATTTCCAGGTAAGGCTGGAAAGGACTCCCCCATGAAGAGAGCTGCTGCCAGTCTGTGCAGACAGTACTGAGCTAGATGGACTAACGGTCTGACTCAGGCCTGAGGCAGCTTCCTGGTCCTTTCCACAAAGCTTAAAAGACACATAAAAGGTATAATGGCAAAAGGAGAGGTGGGGGGACCCCTGGTGCTGCTCAAGAAATAGCTGAACTCCAAATCCCTCATTTCCTGACAGCCATATTTGGATGAGGCTGATGGGATTTGAATCCCAAACAAATCTGGAGGCCATGAGGGCAGCGCATCCCTGGAACAAGCTTTCATGGTTGGTGGTCCACTTTTTTGAAATGCATGCCGCATTACCCTGAGTTATATAGGCTATTATTTCAATAGCAGCCAGAGTTAACAGTATAATTAACATTTTCGCAAAAACAGTTGTAGCGATAAGCACAGGGCATCTGGCATTTGGTGATCTAATTAACACATGTATTGTGATGAGAGAAAAAAGGGAGCTCTGGTTGGTAAGTTTTACTCAGAGTAGAATCCATTGAAAATTTCAGAGGTCCTAGCATAAGTCCTGTTCATTCATTCCAACTGATGTGGTCCAAGTACAGCTGACTGCCACCCTTAATCCCTATTAAAGTAGCGTTGCCCGTATTTCAAAAAATAAAAACCAGGACACCCCAAAACTGTTGAGCATTCCAGACGTCAATTCCACCTTTGAAATCCCAGTAATGTCTGGGAAAATCCGGATGTATGGCAGCTCTATATGAAAGCCAACGGTAACAGAACAGAACATTTTAATGAATTGATTTCAGCTATGTGGAATCGTTGCCCTGATAGCTAGTAACATTACCTACCAGTAACAGTAGCTACATTTAAGCCGGTGGTCTCTACTCTCTGGACAATATCTCTGGTAACCCTTGTCCCAGAATTTGCCTGGATTGGGAAAGACCTTCTTAAAACTTTCAACCTTCTTTGGGATTTAGCCTCCCCTCCCAAGGCATCCTGGGACACAAGGAGAATTAAGCATCCCTCCACAACCCGCAGCCAGTCAATATCATTATTGAACGCTAGTTTTCTTGTTGCTAATGTCCTGCCAATGGTAGGAACCCCCCACCAGGAAGCAGCACTTGGTTTTGTCTCATTATATGTGGCCACCTGTCATGGATGCTTTCTGCATTGCAGGGGGTTGGACTAGATGACCCTTGGGGGTCCCTCTGTCCAATTCTACAGTTATAGGATTCCTTTTCACTAGGCAACCACTACCCTTAATGGACTAGGACCCACATACCTATGGGACCACCTCTCCTGGTATGTCCCGCAGAGGACCTTAAGGTCCACAAATGACAACATTTTGGAGGTCCCAAGTCGCAAGGTGGTTAGATTGGTCTCAACTAGGGCCAGGGCCTTTTCAGTACTGGCCCTAACTTGGTGGAATGCTCTGTCACAATAGACTAGGGCGCTGCGGGACTTGACACCTTTCCGCAGGGCCTGCAAGACAGAGTTGTTCCGCCTGGCCTTTGGTCTAGACTCAGTCTGACCCTTATGTTTCCCTCCCCTTATGGTTTTGATCTATGGGCCACTTTTAAAATGAGGCTGCATTTTAAATTGCATTTTAACCTGTATTTTAAATTGGTTTTTCCCCGCTATTATGTTTTTACTGTAATTTTACTGGTGTTAGCCGCCCTGAGCCCGGCTCTGGTTGGGGAGGGCAGGGTATAAATAATTTTTTTTTAATTATTATTATTATTATTATTATTATTGAAAGACAAGGGCAAGCCCTTCCTCAATTCACTGCCTCCCCTCACTTGAAGGATGTATTCAAGAGCATATACAGTACAACACACACAACCCAACCCCCCCTCCCACAAGGGCCCAACCCCATTTGGTTCGGGCCAGAAACACATTATTGAACGAAACCAGAAGCTCACTCCATATAGAAGCCCGCTTCCAACTAGTGTGACCGACAAACGGAAGCCAGAGAATGAGAGATGCAGTGATACGATCAAGGAGCAAATTCAGTCTCCTCACAACATTCCCATCCTTCCCAAACAAAGCTTTCCCCCCTGAGGCGAAGGGTTGCCATTAGCCATTAGCCCTAAATTCTTTGGTGGGGTTTCCGCCTTGGCAGCAAAGACAGAAGCGTCCTCCACTTTTGACACAGATGAAATGTTTTGCATGCAGAGCACACACGGAGACACACACACACACACACGCCTTGCGATTGCACCTTCTGCACATCCAGCCCACCATAATGGCAAGCATTCATGCATGGAGCTGTAGACTGGGAAGCAAAGAAGTGCAGGGGGCAAAGGGAAGGGTCAGTGGGTTGCTCAAGGAGCCTGCCCGCCCCATATCTGGAGCATACATCCACCCCACAGAGAATATTCTCCTTGCTCCCCTGAGTCATTTGAAGGTGGAAAACAACAGCCCAGGACCCACTGATGAGGAAGAAGGCAGGAGGGGACCCTACGGCCACTCTGACCCAATTCTCACACTACATGTGGGCAGTCAGTGAGCAGACTGGGCAGTCCCAGATACGGATTTCTGCAGCCGAATCTGTGGTTATCTGGTTAATCGCACCTGATGTCTGTCCACGCAGGTGTAGGTGGAAAGAGAGGAAAGCACGCAGGCAACCCCCCGGCCCCCTCCCCTGCAAAAAGGCCTCCTCCCTTCACGGGTCTCCTTGCAAAATAATTGCAAGTCGGGGTGGAGGGGGCAGCCGTCGTGCTGCGTCTCCCAGATCTCATTAAGGGAAGGAAGGAAGGATTGGCAGGTTCATAGAATATGGATTATTCCCAGGAGACTGCCGTCCTCGCTTCACGCAACACCACTCAGGATGCAAAAAACAATACAAAAAACACCACGTCGATCTGGCCGTGTGTGTGTGTGTGTGTGTGTGTGTGCACGGCATTGTAATATGCAAGAGAAAGGAGGGAGTGGGAGGGAATCTCTCTCTCGCACACACGATCACCACCCGACAGAGAAAAGCACCGATAAATTGCAAACAAAACAGGCATAGCGAAAAGGAGGGAGGAGGAAACATATTTCTCCCTAAATATTTCGCCTATGCATGCACACGCACACAAAAACACACACACAGAGAGAGGCAACACCTAGCGATTCTCCAAAAGGCAATGCAAATTTACAAGCGGGGTTTGTGTGGATCCCCCCCGCAAAAAAATAGCTGTCACGCACGCACGTGCAAAACACACAGAAGGGCCAAATTCTTCAGGACCAATTTGCACCCCAGAAGGTGGCGGCGTGTGTGTATGTGCATGCGTGTGTAAGTGGCGGCGGCGGCGGGGGGAGCCCCCACACAGCTGCACAATCCAGATGTGCACCTCCTGTCATTTTAAGGTGGCAACGCTCGCAACACACCCAGCAGGAAGCAAACCCCGCAGGGGGCTGCTCCCCCCCCCAGCAGACCACCCATTCGCGCTTGCGTTTTTACAAACCCCCACAACGTTACAAACCAAACTGATCGGGAGGGTGGAAGAGAGAGATCAGCGTCCCCGCACAGCCCATAAAAGCACACACACGCACGCAAAACAAGCGATTCTTAATGGGAAAGCCACAATTAAAATAATTTTTAAAAACTGCAAAAGGAGACGATCGGTGGAAAGCACCATTCCTTGGAATCGCGGCCCTCCTTCGAGCCACCCCCAGCAAACCTTCCCGCTCGTGCACAGAGCAAAATCTTGGGATTAAGAGCAGGAGGAAAGGACCGCGGAAAAGCAGCAGCAGGAGGCGGCGGATTTTGCTGCTTCTTTTCCTTGGAGGAGGAGGAGAGGGCGAAGGGGGAGGCGGCGAGGGCGCAGCGCTTACCGGGCTTGGAGAGGCATGGAAGGGGCGTCGGGTCTGCCGGGGCTCGATCCTCGCCCGGCGGCGTCGGTACCAGGGTGCAGGGACGGAAGGGAAGCGCTGGGGCGGGCAGGCGAGCCGCTACCGGCGCGCAGCAGCTCCCGCTGCGAGGAAGAGGCGCCCCCGCCGGTGCCTCCGAGCCGGCCCCGGTCTCCTCCCACTGGCTCGGCGGAGAAGGGTTTAAAGGGCCCGGCAGGCGGAGAAGGAGAGGTCATGTGACGAGCCGGCTCTCGCTCCCCCCCCCCGTCACACACCCGCGGTAGGCAGGGGTTGTCTTCAAAACAAAGAGCACAAAAGACGCCCCTGAGCATGTGCAGAGCGCGTACCTAACTAGGCAGGGACAGCTCTGCTCCGTGTGAAGACGTGGTTATTTTTTTCCACGTTGTCAAGCACGTACAGGGGGCGTGTTCCCACCCCAATGAATGACCGGGTCTGATATGGAATCACAGAATTGGAAGGGACCCCAAGGGGCATCTATTCCAACCCCCTGCAATGCAAGAATCTTTTGCCCAACGTGGACTTCGAACCTGCGGCCCTGAGTCTCATGCTCCACCAACTGAGCTATCCAGCTATCATACATGAAGTTATGCTTTCTGAAACATACACGCAGGCAGACAACTGGTGCTTGAGCATGAACAGAGCACTTTACTTTCCTTGTTTTTGTATAACCAGAAACAGCTCCGATACACAGGGGGTTACTTTTAAGAAACAGTTGATTCGAGCATGTTGAATGAAACCTTCAGAGGTGATATTCAGGGAGTTTTTAAATATAAAAAGTGGATTCCGTGAACTTGAGCATGTGCAGAGTACATTCTCGCCGCACCAAGTGAGCATAGCAGCAGCCAGCAACACTTAAGTAGCCACAATTTAAAGGAAGGGAAAAATTGAGTTGGGGCAGCACATTCTTTCCTCAGCTAAGAGCCACCCATCTGCTGTAATATATTATACATGAAGTGATTTTTAAAAGGTCTTTGTGTACACAGAGAATGCTTTTCCATCCCACCAAGTAAGTAAGCGCCACAGCAAATGTCACCCTTGGTGGAGGAATAGTCCTGCTTTAAAGAAAGGATAAATAGGGTGCCATTGAGAATGTGCAGAGTGCCTGCCTGCCTCAAGCATAGCCTGATGCTAAGACATGGTAATAGAAAGCAAGGGAGGGGGAAATGGGAGAAAAGACATTTTGCTGCCTGAGGCGCAGAGGGGACTGACCGCTAGGGCAAGGTGGTTCACCTCAAAATCCATGGCTGTCTTCTATTCCATCCGCCCACCCCATTCATAACTTTCCAATCATTCAGAGACTGCCTAGAGTCTTTTCTGCCCATCTCCTCTGCTGGCCAATAACAGCTCTGAACAGCACAGCCAATCACAAATATTGTTATGGGCACCTGTTCTCACCCTTCAGCTTTGTCTGATGGTGGGAGGGAGGGAGCTGGAGAAAGGGGCTTCTCAGCCTAGCCTACCTCGCAGGGTTGAGTTCAGATAGATGCTAAGCAATTGTACAACTGCATTTTAAGTGCCCACAGCATCTGAATTGCTTGACCCCACATACACCCACCCTTTCCTTCTGTGGAATTAACACTGTTCCAAGTGCCACATAATACTCGTTCCACAATTGTAAGAAATTGATCTTCACTGTAGTCTTCCTGGCGACTGCTAAAAAGGTGTTTGTTTAGGCTAGCCTGTCCAAATATGCAGAACATTCCCGTGTTTTAATCTGTGTTTTGCTTATTGCTGGTTTTCATTATTTGAATGATACAAATACAGTAGCTGGTTTTAACTGTTTTTGGATCGTTTTATTGTTTTAATCCGTTTGAGGTTTTTTGTGCGTGTGTTTTTTACAATCAAGCGGTATGGAAATTATATGAAAATAAATAAATAAATGTTTGCGAGTGGGGAGGACAAGGAGAAAACCAGAACAAACTGACCACCTCCAGCTAAGGGGCAGCCTTATCTGCCCCACTGGGTCCAGTGGTCATCAGCCATCTCTGTTGGGGTGAAGTCTGAAATGGCCTCTGCACACCCCATTCTATGGTAGACAGCCAACTGATCTGGCAGCTCAATCTTACATCAGCAGCAGCAGCAATGGGACAGTGTTTGTTTTCTCTCTCTCTCTCTCTCTCTCTCTCTCTCTCTCACACACACACACACACACAGACACACACACACACACACACACACTTGGGGAGCAGTATGTTAGTTTACGGGGTGACGGCCAGGCCACAGGAATGCCAATTTGGCCCCCACGACTGTGGGTGCCCGAGGCCATGAGTGCCATGCAGTGTGCATGGCCCTGACACCGAAATTTGTTGGTGCCCGACCCCTTTCTGGGGAATTTTGTGGGTGCTTGGGCACCCAGGGAGTTGGCGCCTATATTCCCGGCCACATGGCACAAACAGTTCTGCTTTCCAAAACCTCACAGTCCTCACAGTCCAAAACCTGTCAACCTTACAGCTGCCTGAGGCAGCTGCCATATCACTTTGCCTGATGGAAGGGCCGGACCCTGAACCTGAGCTTGCTTTATTTATTTATTTAGAGCACTTGTGCCTTGCTCTTCAGCGGCGTACATACCCAATAAATTAAAACCGCCCGCAGGTTTATAATCTAAGCAATCCGACAGACAAGGGAAAGGGGACAGGCTGGGAAGAGGGAGGTGGGGAAGCAAACTCAGGTGCCAATTCTCAAATAGTCGTTCTTATACTGACCAGTTGGCATAGTAATAATCCCAGGGTAGGTGTCTAGTGATGCTGATCTTTTGGCAAAGCATATGAAGGGAGTCCTCCTTCCCGTCTCTTCCACTGAGGCAGCCTGGTGGAATAGAATGTCAGTTTAGTATCCAAAGTCACTCCAGACTTTTCTTCTAAGTGCCAGAGAATGACATATCCTACACACCTATACTTGGTCAATACATCAGCCTTTTCCAACCTGGTGTTTTGGACTACAACTTCCATAAAACCAAGTTGTCTTCCAGGACATCGGGAGGGCACCAGGTTGGCGAAGCCTGACTTGCAGCAGGGGTAGAGGAACACGTGGCTCTCTGGATGTGGCTAGTCTCCAGCTCCCAGCATCCTGGCCATAGTGGCTGGAGTCCAGCCACATCTGGAGGACTGCAGGTTCCCAGCCCTGCCTTACAGGATGGCACAGATGACAGAAATATTAAGAACCTCCAAGGTTTCACAACAGAAAAGAGGCATGCGCTTGGAAAACCCCAATTCTCATGCCAGGCTTCATTGCCCAAACCACAGACCTCCTTGTACACTCACAAAAGGGTAGCTACTTACACATCACCCAGAAAGGAAATGCATCATCAAAATAGCAGTCAAGAGAGGACACAGATTTGCATAACATTTGGGCTTGCTGATTAATAGGCACGTGTGCACATTTAGAAATAATTGCTGTAGTTTAAATAAAGATGCAGAACATCTTGCCCCAGTGGGTGAGACTGTGATCTGGAGACCCTTATGCCCCTTCAGTCTCCTGTCTAGGTGCTCAAGTCTCCCTTTTTGTGGGGAAGGGCTGTAACTCAGTGGACAAGCTCCTATTTTGCACAGAGAAGGTCCCTGGTTGGCTCCTCAGCATCTCCCAAATAGGTCTGCCAGGGTCTCCACTGAGTCCACTCTGAAACCCTGGAGCAGGGTTTCCCAAACTTGGGTTTCGGGCAGTTTTGCACTATGATTCCCATCATTCCTGACCACTGGTCCTGCTAACTAGGGATGATGGGAGTTGTAGTTCAAAAACAGCTGGAGACACTGCTAGTACAGACCAAGGACAGCCAATATGGTGTCTTCCAGGTGTTGCTGGACAACAGCTCCCATCATTCCTTACCGTTAGCTATGCTGGCTGGGTCTGATGGGAGTTGCAGTTCAACAATACCTAGAGGGCACCTTCTACTGAGCTAGATGGGCCAACGATATAATTTGTATGAGGCAGCTTCTTACGTTCCTATGTCTTTTGTTATTTTGCTCCCTAGAGCATCCGTTGCCAGACTCTCCAGATGTTTGGGGCTGTTTGAACCCTTGCCTCCCCAGTCCCATGGCTGGCAAGAAGCGACAATTTGACCTAGGCCACCATACACCAGTCCTTTTGTGAAGAGGGGTTGATTGCTCAACAACCCTAACACCCCTCAGCCACCCTTGACAAAGAAAGGCTCCCAGAATTCTTTGTGGGAAGCCATGATTGTTCAAAGCAGTTGCTGTAAATGTATGCTGCAAATTTGACCCTAGTGGCTGGGTGCCTCATGGTGGGCTACCTTCTTCTTGAGTTACAATTTCTACCCACCCTGCTTGGACTTATGACTGTTTATCCACTTTATTCACTGCAGTGCTGAGGCTGAGGGTGAGGGGAAAGAGGTCAAGAAGCCTCTTGTGCCATGGACTCAGAGAAGGCTCCAACTTTCACTCACTCTTCCCGCCAATGTTTCCATTTCATATCGATTGTCGTTTCTGATGAGTCCACGCCGCGTCCTTGCTGACGAATCAAGGAAACTCGATCCACCGTCCTTGTCTATGAAGAGGAAGTAAAATCTTACACAGCAGACAATTTACCTCTCCCCACCATGCATCTGTTCTCGCCAAGCAAGCTCCAGTGACATCCTGAGGCTGGCGCTTCTTTTCCCAACACTAAGTTAAACTCAGGTTTACACAATATTCAAGCATCACCCCCCCAAAAAAATACACATACCCTCCAGGAAACTGGGGTAACACTGGTTTGAGGGGGGTGGGGTGGAATGTGTTGTAGATTTTCCTCACATGATCAAGAGAGCTGTTGACAGGAATGTGTCTGAGGAACTCCGAGGTCAAGTCAGAAGGATATCAACTCCCTGCACACTTGCAGCCTGACCTTAAGAAAAAAATTAAATGTGCCTTAAAACCTTTGGTTTTAATTGCGTGAGGTCCATAGCGCTCTGCCTGAAACTGAGCTGCAAATGGAGAACAGACAAACAGCTTTCCAAAATATAGATAAACCTTCATAATTAAAACACTCAATAAAAACAACCCTTTTAAAACAAGTTGGCAATTTAAACAGGGAGGCTGGTTTAATTGTATTCAGGTTATTAAAGATTCTGTCCTTTAGCTCTGTGTGCACATTTATTTATTTACCATTAACAGCATTTATATCCCACTTCTCCTCCATGGTGCTCAAAGTGGCATACATGGTTTGTCTCCTCCCCATTTTAATCTCACAACAACCCTGTGAGGTAGGTTA